CCGAGCCGATCAGTCAGATTCTTACATAAAATATAACTTCCTCTCTTTTGTACCTCATTTCCCTTTTCGGATTTAAAAACCACTGTCGACAAAGCAAAATTGAACTTTAAAAATCCTCTATAATTTTAAAAGTAGCAGTAGGCCTGCTGTCAAATTAACTAACAACTTTCTAATTGGGTTTTCATGAGCACTTGGTAAAGACCCATATTACCAGGAGCCAACATGGGTCTTTCTAGTAAGAAATCATGTATGGCAGACTGAACTCATTTGTCTTTTCAGAGTATGAGACACATAGTATATCAGGATTCCAGCAAGGTGCTTGACAAAGACTTTATGATAACTTTTTTGAAAAGAGTCTTAGTTGTGTTATCCCACATGTAGATCTTAGGGTAATAATTAGGGTGCAGGTAGTTCATTTGGGAAGTGATTTCAGGAAATCCTGCGGGAGCCTGAGGGATTGAGACAGATGGAAAGAGTCACCACTGGGAGTAACTGGAGCCCATTCCTGCTGGGGACCCTCTGAGACACGAAAACACCTCTGAATTCTTCCCCTGAAGAACAAGGGAGCTGGGATCATTATCCACCACTTTCCATCCCTCACTGGTTGAGGACCTGTCCTGAGGTTTTAATCCCTTGCCATGCCCAGCCTGACCTGCATATGGACCAAGTTCAACCTCACCAGAGAAGGTCTTCAGGCAAAGACACGGAAAGCTAAGTATGGGAACTGTCTACAAGCAAGTTCAGGAGTGGGGGGGGGGGACTGTTAATGGTCCTGGGTTTCTTTGTGGGTAAAATGATCTGTAATTAGACAGTGGTGATGATTGTACAACTTTGGGACTTTACTAAAAAACAGTGAAGGATAAAACTTTAGAAGGATAAATTTGATATGTAGATTATATCACAATTTTTTAATTTTTTTTTAATTTTTTAAATTTTAAAAAAGAAAACCTCTGGGGGGAGCAAATCAATGGGATATGTTGAAGCAACGGCCAGCATCTCCTGCAGTCCACCCCCATCCCACCCATAGCAACCTGGGTCCCATGCTCAGTTCTCTGTCTCAAGGATAGTGGCTACTCACAAGATTGTTAGAACAACGGAAGGGAAACATCAACAAAAAGGTTAGCAGGCCAAGCTGTAGTCTTCACTGCTGCACATCAGTCCGGAAGTCATAATTAACATGGATCATCTCCCTGTTCTACCTGGTCTAGATTTCCAACCTCACCCTCAACCAGCACTTCTGGTCAGCACCACTTGCCTAGAGGGATGACCCGGACCTTCCTCTCTAAGGAGTCTGAACCTCTAATCGTTGTGCCCTGTCATGCAGTTGTGAAGTTTCCCATTTATTGTCATTCCCAATCACTCACCAGGAAGCACCCCTACAAGCCCTTCCTGCCCCATTATGTGGCAGCAGCCCTCGCTCCTCGTGATAGTTGGAGTCAGGCACCCTTGGCCAGCATGCTGACCTGAAAAACCACATAAAGAGCAGGTGGCAGCCAGGGCTTTGGGTTAAGTGGAACTTTTACAGTGGCTGTTGCTGGAACCCCTGGGGACCACCCAGAGCCTAAAGCAGCAGAGTCAGGAAGCACAAAATCCCAAAGAGACTAACAAAATGATGGTGAGAGGGGCCCCTTCTCATACCCCTTGCTTCCCAAAACTCTGTGTTCTGGCTGCTGGTTCAGTGTATATGATGTATCTTGAAGGGGCATCATCTCCTATAACTTTTAATCAGCTGACGGTTTCTAGATGATGCAGTATGTGGGAAGACCTGTAGAGCTTGTGTCCATGTGCCCATTGTCACACTTCTTTGACCTTCATGTGGATCCCTTGGTCAGAGATGGTGTTATGCAGATTCCGTGTAAGCC